ACTTCTCCCTTCAAACTACCATCACCTCACTCTATGCCATTTAGCAAATATCGGACAAGCCAAGTCCAAAACCCAGCGAAGTAAAAGCTGCACTCAAATTTATTTTCGGTCTTCACCGCTTTATCATTTATCGATTTACTTTTACTCAATTGTCGTTGCTTGCACACAATTCAAACCTTTAACTTATTTTGAATTACAATTTTTGCATTAAGCTCACCAATCTGAAATGTAACTTGTAGGCGCATCTTTTTTATTTCCATAATAATTTGCTCAAAAATTTATCTGTGTTTTGATATTCATAAGGATTTTTTAATTAGCTTCGAAGTCGAAAATTTCCCATAATTTGATTATGTGAGTATATATGTGATCAGGGGAGATTAGGAATGATGAGCAAAGAAAAATATTTTAAGTGACAGATTTACTTAATTGAAAGAAAGCCAAACAAACATTGCTTTGCCACGTATAGAAAGTGTAATGCCAAATCAACGTCCTCGATGCATCTCTTTCAGGACATAAACAGGGCAGGTCGAGGTCAAACACCATTCATCGATCGGTCCATTGTTTGACCACGCGTATTCTGTCATGTCGAGCTATGAAGTGCAATAAACTCAATTATTGGCTCAGAAACTTCCGTACGAGAGCATGAATGCTTTCCTAATTCCATCAATATATCCAGTTTGGTCGGGCTATTATGGAAATACCTTGTCTTTTCTCTGTCTCCCTCTCTCTCTCTCTTTATCGTGGGAACTGAGCAACTGAAACATGCCTTTCAACACCGGCATTAATGCCATGCTTAAATAGTTCAAACTAATAAGTATTAAAACTGTCAAAACACCCGAAGCCTGATAGGCTTAAATCATGTCAGCTTCTCATATCCACTGGTATTTTGCATACCAGAAGAAAACATGCCTCTGACATGGTTAGGTGACTATCTTAGTTAATTAGCTGATCAATAAGCTCTGCAGTTATTCAGGAAATATTAAAATTTGAACATGGGAATACTATCAGATATCTTTTAGTTCCTCCCTCCCAACTCCCACCTTAGCGCCTTGTAATTTTCTTGCCTCATAGGTTTTCCAAAGTCAAAAATTGTTATCTTTTGCTTCGCCGTAACTTATAAGAAGATATAACCTACATAATTAGTAATAAGATGTGGTTTTAGGCCTGAGAACATTGTGACATAAAATTGAAAGTTCATTCAGTTGATGTCCATGTGAATTGGTTGCTCACCTAAGCAGTTGACAAATTCCAAGACAAAGACATTCATGCTTAGCAGATATCTTATCTATTACAAATATTCAGACGTTATGAACTACAAGGAACAGATTGTAATTAGCAATTAAAGGCAACGTCCCAATTCAGATCAGTGAAAAGCAATTGCTTCCCAGTTTACACTTCGCTCGACGAAGGTCAGGATCGATGCCACAATAGACGACGAGGCATTGTTGTAGGGTAGTCTAAAGGTGAAGGAAATCACTGTTTCCAAAAGTGACTTTTTAACCTGTTCTATTGTCTTCTAAAGGCTAGTCACTTCATGTTGAAAGTTTGAGTCCAAGTCGCATGTCTACATCTCCAAGTCAACTGTTTCCACCTTAAAGCTCAGTTTACCTCCGCTCATGACCATTGGCAACGAAGCCAATATCAGGAATACGCGTCAAATGATTTTCAATAGTTGAAACGCCGAAACGATGAAAATCTGCCAACAAAATGTGCCCTGAAGTTTGACCGCATATATTGGAAGGCTTCACATCCAAGTGAACTGTTTATATTTGGTACAGTTCTTCCAAGGCACACATAATTTCTGCAATGAAATAATCTAACAACATTTTCATTTATTGAATGGCCAAAAGAACACTGGTGATTGTTACTCATCATATGTCTCACTATAACTGACGTGTCATGTATAAGAAGAAACGATTTGAGGACAGCGAATATTTGTAGTGGCTAGTAGACTGAAAGTCTTCAACTCACGGTGTGCGTGCTACCGATATTTTCCGTGGAATGATGGAAGGAGGTGCTTTTGGAGGGGCAGCTGTGACCAGTATTTCTGCTCACTCTGAGTTTTACCTCGAAATTATTTGAACATTCAGGAGTGCTAATATAGCTTGTCAATATTCATATACTGGTAGGAGACATATTAAGTACGCTCTAATAGGTCATTATTGTCAGTATATACGTGAATTCAATTGTGGTTGATCAAAATCAATAAGAATGGGTTAAAAAAATTATGTAATTATTTGATTTGCTCATTTGATTGGGCATAAAATTTTTTGACCACAGCAGAATATTCCCTTCAAAGTAAACCCTATAATAAGCCTAGATATTACTAAAGATATGAAAAATTCTGTTTTCACTTCTCTAACGCACCTAAACCACAAAAGTCTTGAAAATACCATTCTTATAAACAAAACCTTTTCAGGTGAGTGTCAAGTAAGTCAATCTTAAAGGAAGCACTTTAAAAATGATGATGAAATTGTGTTTTTCAATTTAACGCTTGGAATTATAAAAACCTTGTTTCTTATTCTACTTACTATTTTAAGTAGCAATAATAAAACGTTGTTGCAAACTCGATGGTCATATTATATTTACACCAAAACCGCCTCTGTCCGACTAATCCAGTCATGACAGTATCCGTATGAACACTGACACGCTTCCATAAAGTTACCAACGTGGGACACTTTTTTTCTGGTTTTCCATTTTCTCATTTACAATTCTTACGGAGATATTTTTTGTTGAAATAACCAGTGGCGGTTAGGTATTGTTATAAAGAAAAAAATATATATTTATGTCAAATGGCAGGAGTTCTGATAGTTATCATTAGCCCTTTAGTTGACTTCAGGCTTCACAGAGGAGAAGAAACTTCGAAGTGGAAGAAAGTCGAGAGGGGGGGGGGACAGAAGAGTGTTTCAAAGACGAAGGTAGAAAAGGTAGAAAAAAGATGAGGTGAGTACTGTGAAGGTATTCGTATATGACATACAGTATGGTGATGGTAGTTTGAAGCCAGAAGTCAACTGCCAGTTAATAGACTTTTTTGCAGTATGAGTATACGTTGCCCAGGTGCACCACGTAGAGGTAAGTCTCTCGCACACCCCATGCTTGTAAAGTTAGGAAGAGCTAGCACATTGATAAGAGGAAGAACAGAGGCAGTTATATGTGTGAGTAAGTTAATTTTATCTCAGCCACACAACGTGCTTTGTAGATGGGGTGGGGGCGGGGGTGGCGGGGGGGGGGGGGGAAANGGCGGGGGGGGGGGCGAAAACGCGAATGGAGAAGCAAGGAATGTGCAGTGAATGGCAATGGAAGAGCACACTTGAAAACGTAAATTTGCTCACAGATAAAGCGATTGATAAGTTCACAAGAAGAATTCTTGAAATGCGCAGACCTTCAAATGCGAATTGGAGAAGAAAAGCAAGAGTCAAGTGGTATCTTAACAAACATTCATTAACATTTTCTGTTGAGAGACTAGTTGCAAAAAAACTGTTGTTGCATCGATGTGCGAAGGCATCAGGCCAAGTCCATTGAAATAACAGATAAACTGATGCCAATTGGAGAGGAGTTACATTGTCTGATGAAATTAATGGCTATTTGCACATTTCTCAATAGGTGTACCTATCCAGACACTATCAAACAAAGTCAGCGGTAAAGTGATTTGCCTTGTTTTTGCACCCTTCCAATGGATCAATGGAAGCGTCGCAATATGCAAGTGGTCGTTTGAAATAGACACAGACTGCAAAAAAACAAATGGGATATAAAAATGACATTATTGAATAAAGGGTGTGGAGGTGGGCGCAATGATGCCAATAAACAGAAAACCGTCGACTGAAATCAACTACCTCCCTCTCATATTTAAGTAACTAGATGAGCGTAACTTTGAAAGTCAGTAACATGACAGGTGAGCAAGTCGATCACTTTCCAATCAACTAAAAGCATCGTCCCTCCTATAAACCTCCACGGACATATTATTTTAATAGGTAATTACAGACTCTATTTTAAAGGAAAGTAGGTAGATTTAAGAATTTCAGAGAAAAAATTCCCTCTCAGTCACCAGACGCGAGAACTTGGGTAGTCATAGCTACAATATAGACACTCTTAAATCATTCAAATTGAAGTCATCATCATTCTTGCCAATGTACTCATGAAAAACAAAAAACATAGCGACAATAAAAACACTAGACTTTATTGCACCTTCAATTGCTTAATCTACAGCTACATAATATCATGAATGAGAAAACGGATAGGGATGGGGTGGGTGGAAGAGAGGGAGAGGGGTATTAAGAAGTTTTAATCAAGACCAACGGCTTTGCGTGAAGCGGAAATCATTTCCTCTTGAGCTTTCGCATCATAGACGAGGGGATTGGCTTTTGCAACTGCACAGTCCGCATAGTAGTCTCCAGAGTGCAAATTTGGTGTCAATGCGGTATAGATTGTGGTCTGTGAACCCTCCCAAGAGCTTTTCATTAATGGACGGAAAATCAATTGAAGAGACAGCTGTAGTGGAAAAAGAGTGGTCAGTTAAACACTGCATCTATGCTACAAGTTGATATGTGCCAAACGAACGATTATCAAAAGTTCATAGTAAGGAGCCTCTCTTACCGTTAAGAGCCGACTATGTCTGGCTAATTCAGTCATGACACTACCCGGGTGAACACTGGCAGTTTGAATTCCATCCGGTAAAAGTCTCTTGCTCAAATAATTAGCATACATTGCATTCGCTAGTTTGGAACGACAATAGCACTGTGCACTATTGTAATGTGCTTCGTCCACATTGAAAGGAAGTAGGCTGTCCTAAAGGAACAGCAAAATAGAGAATGGATATAAGCATAGAAATTACCTTAGCAAACACATTAGCAAGAGACGAGACGAGAATTATTCGTGTGCCTTTAGCCCCTTTATTCATTTCGGGAAGAAGGAGCTCAGTCAGAAGGAAGTGTCCAAGATGATTTGTTCCCACTTGCATCTCAAAACCGTCTGCAGTTTTCATATAAGGGCAGTACATTATACCAGCATTATTTATCAAGATATCGACCTTTTTCTTTCCTTCACGAATACGCTGAGCAAACTCCCGTATAGACTTGAAAGAACTCAAATCCAAATGTTCAACTATAAGCTGATGAGGATTAACCGGGGTGATGACTTGTTTTATCTTTGAATTGAGAACATTTTTGGTCAGAGCCGTTGGACGACCTATTCCATAATTACCGATGATTTCTGCCTTTGCAGCTTCTGCTTTCTCGGTGTTTCGGCAAGCCATTATGACGGTTGCACCACGTCTGGCTAACTCAGCAGCCGTCTCCTTTCCAATTCCAGTATTTGCACCGGTAATGATAACAAATTTACCATCCAGTCGTTCAGTTTCATAGCACCTTCCACCTGAGAAGTAGAGACGATTTGCGAGGTAGAGAACAAACTCAGTGCTTCCGATTACAGCTAGTATTTTAGCAGCCTTTTCACTTATCAGTTCCGATTGTTGCGCAGCATACAGAGCTGCACCAGCTCCAATAAACGCCGCAATTTCCTTCCACATACCACGAGTATGGCTGTTTGACTAACATTCAGCTGCACGTTTTCATAGTTGCAGTCGGCATGCTCTGTTCCTATTGGTCATGGCTACGCGCTGACAATACTTACAATCAATACGGTGTAGAGTGCGCGTGTGTGTGGATTAGAGAATTTATTGCACTGACTTTTCACTGGCGGAAGTGGTTTTCTTTACCCTTGGAGTAAATTAACAGCCAATCCGAAGGTTTGGGCTTAAAAATTGTTTGACTTACTCCATTCCAATTGACCAGTTTACTCGTAAGGAAATCAACTCTAATTCCTCTCTTTCTTTCTTCTTAAAATAGCTATTGCATTACCCTTGCCTCATGGCGGTCAAGCTAATTCTCTAGACCCTTTCTTTGCTTTATTCACATATAGTCCCAAATCGTTTAAATAGCCAACTGTGCATGCAATTAAGAAAACACATTTTTTGCATAGCTGTGCTTGATTAGAACTTCAAGGACGCCTAAGGTTTAACTTTATTTATATTGCAAATACGAAAAAGCCTCTTGCGCTGCCAACCTAGGTGATTTGGGTGTCTGAAAGAAGTCGCTCTCTGATAGAGGCATGTGAGAGTCATGGTGGCTAATGCGCGTCCCATTAGCATTGAGCCAATTGCATTACAGCACTAAATGCCGCGAGCTGATTTTATAGCGCCACATTAACATGCTAGAAGGACAATGCATCAGTCCCCACTTGGGAGTCTTTTTCACTTCGCCAGAACCATTTCTATGCTTAACTTGTTGATTCATAAAACTATAAAAGTGTATCAACCTCAGTTTCGCCTTGTTGGAAGAAAAGGCTTATAATTGGCTTGGAAACAGTTGTCGGTTTAAGCAGACTTGGAGCTTCTATCATATTGGCCTGTCGAGGCGTCAACCAGGAAATTGGAGCAAAATAGACGATTCTGAAAAACTTTGGAGGTAACAGGATTAGTCAAATAGTTTCAAAGCCCTAAATTCTTCTCCCAACACAAGATCCCCTTAACACTTATTAAGTAATGACAGGTGAGCTTAGTCAGCTTGTTACACTTTACAAACTTATTCATTGACACAATTTAGTAATCTTTTCAAAATTTCACACTTAGGCTTCAAACATAGTTTGTTTGACAAAAGTTGAAGTACATTTCATCTTCATCATGAACTGGGAAAATATGCTTTCATTTTGCCGATTTTATAAATAACTGCAAAGGATAGATAGAAAAATCGCAATATTTTTATTCATATAAGAATAACCGGTTCATTATAATGACTTATTTCTCGTTATTTAATCAGTGCATTGTCACTAATAAATTTGGGTATATTGTAAAATAATACATAATGCGATTTACATGTCATTTTTACCTAAAATAATGTGATTGACTTAACTTAGAATAATTTCGAGAAATTTCAAATTAGTAATATGCGTATCACTGATTTAATCATTTTAACCGAACTTTATTTTAAATACTTGGGATGTGCGATAGACTTACCTACACGTGGTGCAGTTTGGGCAACGTAATCTCACCTTTTTTCTCTACCTTTATGTCTGTCTGTCTATTTTACATCTGAGAATCATAATTCTGCCCCCACCCCCTCTCTGGACTTTTTCCCACTTTGATGTACCTTCCCTTTGCATCGTAAAAGTCGGTGCACATGAGTGTACTTCAAAGTAATTTCTTATCACAAATCACCTGTGAATGAATCCAAGCTTATGAACGCTTTCCAGGGCAAGAGTTAGATCAGCAATGTAGAAGCGAGCAAGAGGCTCCTCGAAGGTCTCCTTCTTTATCAACAGGGACATAATGTCGCCACCTAATAGGGAACGAATATTAAGAAGATGATAAGATGGTGGTGTGAGGAAAACATGCTAACCGCTCCTTTCTGCAATTCTTTTAATTCAAATACTTGGGGTGTACGGTAGGCTTACCTCCACGTGGCGCATTCTGGTCAACGAATACTCATACAGAAATCATGTCTAAAAACCAACAATTGGCTTCTGACTTCAAACTACCATGATCCCACTTTATGTCATATTCCAACACTTCCATAGTACTCACCTTACCTTTTTCTCTACCCTTTGCCTGACTCTTTTACAACTGTTCACCCTATCGATTTTCCACAACACTGAAGTTCCTCCACTCTGTGAAGTCCGAAGTCAACTAAAGGGTCAATGATAACCAACATGTTTTCATACCCCAACTATTAACTTGCAAGACTTATTTGAATTGAAATTTTTCCTTCGAGCATAACATACAGCGAAGGAATAATTTCAACCAAAATTATCGTTTAGACCCAGGATAATTATTTCAGCTATTTTATTACTATCAATGATTTTTATTCATTACATGGCTCACGGTTGAGCAAGCACTT